CAATGTCTCTATTGGTGGGTTTTCACAACGCTTTTAAAGAAGTTATTTTAATCTCAAGTGTTGGGTGTAAATAAATACTGTGTTGGAGTTTCTATAATGATACAGCTTTCTGTTGGCTTATACAACCTCCAGTTATAAAATACAGCCCTTTGTTGAACCAAAGCCAAGATCTTGGAAAGGATCAAAGAATAAAAAGCAGAAACGAGTTTGTCAGGAGATGGATATTTTTATGTCACATATAAAACCGTCTCAGACCTAACCCCCTTTTTATGGCCATTTTTCTGCAGCAAGGATGCCGTCCACCAGGACAGTCTGTCCCCATTTCCCTTCCATGCTTTGCTCCAGCCTGGGATTGAGGACGCTGTGCCAGGATTCCCTCACCCAAAGGGATTTTTTCCTCTGGAATACGAAGTTTGTTCCTCTTACCCATCAAGATGGGGCTGCTCAGAGGGGAGCAGCATTACAAGAAGCTGAAGCCAAAGTTGTTTCTTACTGAAGCTGAATTCAGTTTGTCTTTTAGGAAAATAAGGTCTCAGAGGGAAGTGCTGGAACATGGACCAAATCCCTGGTAAGGCCACAGCTCAACACGTGTCAACAGCCACAGCCAAGATGAGATTTGTTACTGCAGTGGGAGGTAGACTTGCCCTAGGGACTATGTCAGGATCAGAGAAGCTTATTAATAAGGAGATCTTTCCATAGCATCCACATGTATTTCCAGGATAGTACGAGTACCTTATGGTGGGATAATCTTTCCTGGAGGAACAATCCCTGCAGCACATGGGCTTTGAGGGAGGAAAAATGAGTCCCCAAAAAGCACAGTTCTTGGTGGGAGAGGGATCAGCTTATTTGACAACCCTGACCTGCAGTGTCTCTGGAAGCTGGACCAGAACTTCTGCATGGCACAGGTTCAGAGCGACCCATATGCACTGCTCCCTGATGTCAAGGCGAATATACTCGACCATGGCAAAGACTAGGAGAAAGAAAGTGACTCTATTACCCAGCAAATGCTCCTCCATCTGTGCTGAGCCAAGTCTGTGGCAGCTGCTTGACAAACTGCAAAGTCCCAATGAGCTCAAGAGAAACGATGCTCTAACCATTGCAGTGCAGCAAAAAGCTTCAAGCTAACCCATGAGCCAAAGCTGCACCATTCCCAGCCAGCAGCCAAGCAGGTCTGAGTCATCCCAAGCCTGGGATCAGCAGGAAAAGAGTCAGCTAAACAGTCTGTGGGGTCCTGGGAGCCCATGTTGTAACACGTCACCTTGAAACTCATCACAAAGCCATGTTTAGCCCAGGTCTGCGAGGAACCAGCCCTTTGCTAAAGGATTTCAGTGGGGGAAGCTGAATTCCTACCTCCAAGACAAGTTCCTTTTGCTCCACTTGGTGACAGCCTGCACGAATCGCTTCCTCCTGGTCTCAGTGGTGGCGAGGTCGGGCAGAGAGCAGCGAGGGGTCTTCATCAGCTCCAGCGTGGCTTCGTCTAGGGTGAGGAAAACCCCATAAGCTCAAAGGAATGGTGCGTTACTATGTCCTACAGGGAGATGGGAAGTGAAGTGCTAAGGATTGAGCAGCAGAGCAAAAGGCAGTGCCCAAGAGCCTGCTGGGGCACAGCACTAGCTCCAGCATCACCTGTGGTGACACCGTGGGGCACTGAGCCCCCTCTGTGCCACTGTGCACCCATCACCAGCAGCAATTCCTTCATGGCTGGGGGTTCAGCACTCACTTTGCTATTAGTGTCAATGGACAGTTAGTGATTTCAGGAGAAAACACAGCAAGTTCTCGCTTGTTTGATGGATCTCAGAAACTCACGTGGAAAGCACCTATGGCCAGATTGGATTGCAGTTAAGAAAATGCTTTTAGATTACTCTGTTTTGTCCTCTCTTGCTGAATTTCCCGTTAGTCCTCTGACAAAGCAGATGCACATTCACATGCAGATAACCTGTCTCTATTCAGGTAGGAGCTCATATTCCTTCTTGCTCATTTTTATAACTGAATGAAAGCTTAAAGCCCCTATTTTCACCTGCTGAAACAGACGAGTTGTTGCATTCACCCATTCTCTGCACTGGCTTTACCCCTTTGACACTGTTTTCAGACACAAACCACATCCGTGCCCTGCCCAGGGCAGCCCCTCAGGCCTGTTCCAAACACCCCTTCCAAAACTGAAAATGCAAATGCATCTGTAAAGCCATCCTTGCTCCCGGGCCTGCTGCAGCTTGTGATAAGGTGGAGGAGAAATAACTTCATATGCTCAGTTAAGAGCAGAGCAAAAGCCCCATTGATGGGATGCAGACAGCGTCTGTGAAGTGGCAGCTGCTCAGGGGGACTGGTAGAGGGCTGGTGGGTGTTGGGATGGAGGGATGGATGGATGGATGGATGGATGGATGGATGGATGGATGGATGGATAGCAGCCCCTCTAATAGGAACGTCCCCTTAATCCTGTTCCAAGGACCGGAAGCAAGCTGGCCCCCAGCAAGGGGTCACAGCTGTGTGTCAGGGAAGCGAGGAGAGCAAACAGGCATCCTTCTGACAGCCAGGATAATGCTGGCTTTCTCCTCCCCTCAATGAGGACATTGATAGGAGTGACCTCAGCCAGCTGGGGAACTTGTGTTGCTTGATCCTGGCCTTGGACTGCTCCCTCCCAGCTACCACATCAGGCAGAAGCACTCATTGCCTTGCCCCTGCTGGCGGGTGGAGCTGGTGATGGGCTGTTATCTGGCCACAGGAGATGGGGGGAGTGTGCCCAGGGAGCCAAGGAGACCTCTGCCAGCTCTGCAGGCACTTTGTGGCTCTGCATATTATGGTACGGAGTGAGCAGTGCTGGGGTGATGCAGCAGCATCTTCCTCCCTCCCTCCCCTGCGCTCTGCCCCAGCAGCAAAGAAACCAGAGTATCTGTTTATACAAATTGGGAGGCTTAATCAGGATTTGTGTTGAATTCAATTTGATGCTGCAGTGAAGGCTTTGAACAGGACACCCTATCAGCCTTAGTTTCTCTGTCTTTGTTATCTTTCAACACACCAAGAGCTATTTTAAGCACAACAGGATCCCCAGGGTGTGTGGGTCTGGTGAAATAATTGCTTGCCTCAGGTTCTTGAAAGCACAAGGCAACAAAGCACCTGAGCCATGTAATTACTCTTACAGCTGCAAACTGGGCCGTATGTTACACCCGCCTGAGCTTCTCCTGGAGATGCTGCTGCTCCACAACTCAGTGCCAAGTCTCCTTGTCCAGACCTGCAAGGAGCTGTCCCTGCATCCCTCTGCATCAAAGAGAGGAAGGACCACGAGCCACTGACCTAGGACCCCTGTCGCCTCGAGCCCCCCGAACCTCTGCATGGCAGTGATGGCCTTGGTGAGCTCCTCCTGCGTCTGCAGTCGTCCTGTGACGGGATCCGGAGGGGGCAGGTACCCAAATTTCGTCAGCCAGTCCTGTGAAACAAGAGATTGGGGTGAGAAAAGGAAGGGAAGAGGATACAGACACACGGAAAGATGCTGCCCTCTGTTCTGATTGGAAGTGCTTTCCCTGTTTGTGTGTTTATACCCAGCTTCCCCATGGAACTGCGTGGTCTCTGCTAATGAATGGGCAGATCTGTTCACATCAATACTGGGATCTGGCGACCCTCACGCGTTCCAAGGGTGACATCCAATTCCCCACACAGCTGCAGACCACCTCTGATGGCAGCGCAGCCCCAGCCCTTGGGCCACACCGGGGCCTTTGGTTCTCCTTGCACACGGGCAGCTCTGACTGGAGACCAATTGCACTGAGGGGAGGAAAACTGCCCATGACAGGGGCCAGGTGATGCCACCTCCCTCGGGATCCCACTTCAAGTCCTAGCCCACAGAGGGTGCTGGGGCTGGTGCCCTGCTCTGATGGAGGAACCCCTCTGACCACGTGTGCTGGGCTTTGGGCTTTCTGTTGTACCCGACAGGCACCACAGTAAGGTCCCATAAGGGGTGAGAGGAGGGGACCCTGTCAGCACAGGGAACACCTCCATGACCAAGCCATGATCCTCTGCATGTCCCCACGCCAGCATGAGGACTGTGCCTGCTCTACAGGTCCTTTCAACCAATGTGCTGCAATGCTTTCATCCTGCTGTGACCTCCGGCTGCTTTCTAATCCACACATGGCTGGGGTGGAGGAGCTCTGGGGATGCAGGGCATTACGGATGCAAAGAGCTTGGCAGGAAAGGCTCCCTTCACCCAGTGGAGACAAGCTGGGACACAGGGTTAAGGACATCCCTGAAGTCCAAGACCCCTCCATGCACCCTAATGGCTTGATGCTGGCAGCTGGACTTGATGATGTTAAAGGTCTTTTCCAACCTAAAACGATTCTATGAGGGTGGTTTGTACCTTCACAACATCGGGGTTTTGATTGGGAACAAACTCAATCACCAAGTCTCTGACCCCTATCTGGGCCATGCAGCCATCCAAGACCCGAGGCAGATGACCTCAGCATCGACACAGAATTGGGCCCAGCCCTCTGGAGAAAAACACCATGGAGACACAACGCGCCAAGCTGCTTCCTTGGAGGCCACCATGTGCGGTGGGACCTTGGCTTGGCCCCTTCCCACCAGTTCCCTGGCAACGAGCGCTGCAGCTGCAGCCTCAGCTTCCAGGAACCTAAACACAACCCCAACAAGAGCCAATAGTTTCCCAGGGGTGCCGCCACCCTTCCACCATGGCAGGAAGGGATATGGGGACAAGGAGCGTGAGAAAACCCTGCAACAACCTTCCCCTCAAATCTGGTCAGTGCCAAAAGTCGTTCCTGGTGATGGATGGCCCTCAGCTTAAAACTGATGGAGAAAATGCCAAAGATCTCCTTCTTACACCCACTTTTTAAATGTCTGGCAAATCACCTTTCTAAATCCTTTCTCCCCTTCCTTCTCACTCCCCTCCCCTACCTCAGCAGAAGGATCAGCAAATAATAATACCGCATGCAGGGAAAGCCACAGACACCTGCCCTCTGTTTTGTCTCTCTGTATCAAGGAAGCGTTGATCTCCTGAGCCTCTTGAAGAGTGATAATGATCTGGGCTTGCACCGTGGTCAATACACCACAAATATGTTGTAGTCAGATCAGTGCCACAAGTCAGTACCTGCTTATCGCTAGAGGTTGTATGTTGGTGTTCCCTGAATGCCACAGCATCCCCAGCCCCAATCTGGCAAGCCAAATGGAATAATTTGACACTTACAGAGCTTTATGGCAGATCTCCCCATGCTTGGTGTGGTTCCCCCCTGGGGAGTATGTTCTCCTGTGCCAGGTTTCTCACCAGCAATTCACTTTGCTCCTCACCCTCTTTCATAGTTGCCTTATTTTAGTGGGATGGTGTGCTATTACAGCCAGAAAAAGCAGCTTGTCAATGAGGCCATTTCCCATTGCTTAACGCAACAACATCAACCACCAACTTGCTAGGAGCATGTTAGTGTGGTTGCAACCTTCCCTCAACTTAAGGCTGAAGGACAGGCCAAGCGCTCCTTCCCCTTCTCCGTGCTCCTATTTGTCTCTTTTCATAGCAAAAACATTTGTGACAGGAATTAGAGGTACCATTCACCCCTGATTGTCTGTGAGAAATCAGCTGTGGCACGGAGCTCGGCAGCTGGCCCATCGGCTGCAGGGGATGGTGGAGTTTAACTTGGTTTCTTCCGTGGCCATGGAGACAGTGTCATTTATCCTCTAACAACAACAGGGATGCTGCTGTGCTGGAGATGGACACAGCTTTACCCAGGCTCTCGTGGAGAAGGAGGTGGCAGCAAAAGGCTGGGGAAAGTAAAGGCACGGTGAGGTCCAGCAAAGTCCTCCTCATCTCTCGTTCTTAACCAAAAGGGACAGAAGAAGGACAAACACACTCCAGAGCTAGATGGGACAAAAAGCCAGATAGCACAACCCCTTCACCTGATCTCCCTTGCAAGCCCTCGTTTTCCTGCATGTGATTTTTCATCTGGACCATCATTTGTCATGCTTTACTCAGGTTCTCCATAGTTTTATAGAGCTCTGTGATATCACTGTCATTCATCTCTTTTCCCATGTACAGGTTCTGCCTGGTTTCCTCTGTTCTTATAAGCAAAGCTGATCCATAATATTGAACTTTCACATTCCACCTTTGCTGTGGCAGAAAATTTCATTAGGGAAAATGCAGCTGGACTTGGAGATGAGGAGAAGCAGCAGGAACTGTCTGGCTGCTACTCTGTGTGCCCTGTGAAAGCTCTTCAGATGTTTTCTCACCCTTAATTAGGACAAAAGCTAAACCTATAAACTTCCAGAAATGGAAAATAGGAAAACATTTTCCACTGAGATAACTTCAACTCGTTCCCTTATTATTGCCACTTCTTTTTTTAATAAAAAAAAGCTTTTTTTGCCAAGTCTCATTAGCTTAAAACGTTTAAATGAAATAGTGATTGGAGCCGAATGCTAAAATTCTTTGAACATATTTCTTGCCTGAGTTGGCAAGATAAAAAGTTTTCCTTAAAAATATGCTGTGCTAAATGAATTGACCTAATCCCAGGAGGAGATGCAGCTTCAGCAGCTCCCTATCCTAAAAGCAAAAAAATTGCTTCATCACAAAATTCAGATTGAGCCAATGACCTGACCATCTTCCAGCTCCAAGATGAGCTGGGAAAGAGCAAGGCTGCATTACATGACTCATGCTATGGGCCAGGATACGTACCTCGGTCTGGGGCTCAGGGGATCACAGCCCAGTTTTTGTGGGAATCACCTCATTGTGCCTCTGGCCCTCAATTTCTCATCTATAAAACACTTGTAATGGTATTTCCTGGTCTCCCATCTACTTGTCCTGCTCACTCTGAACTCTTTAGAGCAGCCTGCCCCCTGCTTTGCTTAACCCCAACTAAGGGGGGCTCCTAGGCTGGACCCAGCCAATGTGTTTCACTGCCATCACCAAGAGTGGACCCACACAATGGACTTCTGTAGTGTGGGAAGTTAGGAAAGATGGGCTTGGGGAAAGTTTCAGGGACTGAGCAAAGCCTGTGAGGAATCCTCTGATCCAGCTCCGCTACTGAGCAACACGGAATGCAAGGTTTCCACTGTGCTCAGGGTCAGGACTAAAACAAGAAAGAAAGAAGGAAGAACTGCACCGCCTGGCAACAGCATCCAAAGACACCCATCCTTCTGCACCATCCCTCCTCTGCACCACAGAAACACAGCTGCCAGCAAGAGCCCTCACGCTGCTGAGTGCTCCCATCCCACCACGGGGGGTACCCAAGAAAGGAGGTCTTAAAGCAACTGCTTCAAAGCAGGTTTCCTTTGATAAGGGACTATGTTAACGGTGATGCAGAGCCACTCTGTGCATGTGTCTGGAGACAGATTGCTGTATTGTTGTGTTTTTTTGTCTGTGTTCCCATACTGTCGTGGCACAGCGTACTGGGGAAAAGCCTACTTCTTGCCTTAAAAAATGGTTCACAGAATCCAAACTGCAGAATTCGTTTCACTTTTTTCTCTTTTGGGGAAGGCACAAAGTGAGGAAAAATATCAATGAAGTCCTCTCATCTGCACAAACCCTGCTTCAATGCTGGACTTATTTGAACTCCTTAACCCACTTGTATGGAATACCAGGAGGCAACACTGCTGTGGCAGCAGCCAGGGACTGGGGCTTTCCAGAGCAAAGTGATGACCCAGAGCGAAACGCTGGCTGCAGCAGCAGTGAAGCCTCTGGTATCACCTATGCAGAGCCAATTTTCAGATTAAAATGGCAGTTTTATTTCTTTCATCAATCCGTTTCCTTTGTATCAATACCCTTTTGTCCTAGAACCTACTTATCTGCTTCACTTATAAAACAGATCTAGGTATTGTCCCTCTTTTAGGGAGAGATTTATGAGCTCTGCAGGTTTGCTTTTACAAATATTAATATTATATAAGCTGATGGGCTTATTCAACTGCCACAGGCGAGAAACAGGCTCAGTCAGCAAGTTTTCTTCCTGAAGGTTTCTTTTTAAGAGTCGTAGGCTGGTGTTTACAGGAAGACAAACTAGTTCAGGATAACAAGGAGAGGATAAACAGGATAAACGGCAAAACTGAAATCAGGATAAGCAGAAAAACTCGACCCAAGCCAGCTCCATGCTTCTGCCTGCTCTTGTATTATTATAATGACCATGCTTTTAAAGTTTAGCCCCTAAAAACAGGGTCTTTTTCTTTTTTTTTAACCCTCAATGTTGCATGAACATACAGGGGGGAAATAGAGCCTTAATCCTGCAGTTTGTAGCACTCCCTCTGTTCAGGGGTGTAGATAGCTACTCCCAGTTTACCCAGCACATTGCCAAGTGGAGACAAAAGCAGAGCTTTACTCCTAGTCACTGGCTCCTCTGCAGATCCCTGTTCTGGACCCTGAGCTTGGCACCAGCATCCCAGACTCACAGACTGGCTCCATTCCCATCCCACCAATGCTGTGTTTGAATTCCCGTCCTTGTTGACAGGGGTGCAAGCAGCACCCACAACACCCTGACTAAGGACTGCTGGTGGTGACACCCATGGGCACCTCTCCTTGCTCCATGCCATGGCTACTGGTGCTGCTCCAGACACCTCTTTGCAGCAAGGAGCTGCACTTGCAGTGATCTGCAACAGTCCTCCAGAAACTCTTTGGGTGTGCATGGAGAGGATGCTGGTATACCCAAATTCCCACATTTTCAAGGTAGTTCAAAGCTTGAGCAGAAGCATCTTTTCACTCAGAAGATCCGTTTCATTAATATCCCTTGAAAAGCTTTACCAAACCGCACCTTTGCTCACTAATCAAGCTGCAAGATCCTTTTATTCATATGAAAAGGGTCCTGTCATGACTGAGAAGCTAAACCCAAACCTGACCTGCCCTGCCCTTGGCTTTCCAGCAGGGCAGCTCCAGTGATGTCCCTTCCCACTGTGCCCAGTGTTCCTGGCTGCAGCAGGAGCACAAACCACCCCAGCACCCTGCTGTCCACCCCAGATAACCACAGAGAAACAGGCTTTGTTTTTGTAAGGTCACCCACCAGGGAAAGACCTTTGCAAGCTCCCTTTCCTGCTGGAAGTCCCTTTATGCCCTGGGTGCAGTCGTGCTTTGCACACACTGGGGAAGAAAATCCAATCAAACTATTCAACAAAATTAATGACCCAGATAGCTAAAATAAAGCCACAACTCAAACATCTGGAACTGATTTCCAAATTACACTTCACTTTATCTCGGCACCTACCATTAAAAACAGGCTGGAAGCTCACAAAATAAATAAGAAAAGAAGGCACCACCACCAGCAGCTCGATGAAAGGGAAATTGCTTTTGGCTCTTTGACTTCTACTCCCAAGTTTTCAAAGGTTTACAGTATTAACAGTTTTACACTCATTTGCCCCGAGATCAAACGACCTCAGGAACAACGCCCGTTAATTACAGCATCACATATGGCGCTGCGATGCTCCGAGGGCAATGTAAAGGCCTCCGGGCCACACAAAGCCAATAATTCCCTTCCGAAGGTTGCCACACACGTCTCTAATGAGCTATTGCTCGCCCGGAATCAGCTGATTAATTCATTAGCAGAACAAACTGCAGTCTGGATTACAAGCAGGGTTTTGGTGGATGCCACCGCTGAACTGCAGGACTGGTTTCATTAGCCCGCGCCGGAGGAGTCGCTGGAATCCAAACAGCCATTTAATTCCAGTGAACGCTGTGCACAGAATCCAGGGTAGAAGTTAATGCAGCTGCTAATGATTTCCTCTCCCTCCTCCTTGCTTTAGATGTTCAATCAGGTTAACAACAGCGGCATTACAAAAGGCCACAACCTACAAGTCCTGAAGACAACAGGTCCCCTGGCAAGGCATAGATCAAACCATTCGGTGACATTGGACCTGGGACATCTGGATCATCAAGGATCCAGTAGAGAGAGCACCTCTGCTCCAGCGCGGCTCTCTTTCCAGCCAGCACCTGGATGTCAATCTGGCTGCCTGCAGGTCTTGTCGGACGTGACCAGGTCTTTCCTACTACTTGTTTGTAGTGCTCTGCTCACATCCCCACTCTCCTGGGTGCTGGGGGATGATGTCCTCCACCAGGCAAAGTGATTTGGGAGCAAACTTCAAGCCCTCTGTGGTAGATGTTACACAAGGCCTAAGCATCTCTTTGGTTGGAAGGGCACCAAGAGCTTCCCCAGAAACACAGAGTTAATCAAGAGATGTTGTAGAATCAGAAAGGAATTCTCTGCAGACCACAGAAACAGCCTTTTCAACCTCTTTGAACTGAAGATCAAAGAACCAATTCCCACTCATAGAAGGCAGGCAGAACAGCATAGCTGAGAACAATGTTTGCTATAGCTGGTTTAGGTTCCTTACCAGGGTGAGAAAAAGTGACAAAACACATAAACAAGGTACAGTTTATCCTGCATTTTCAACATAAATGTGTATTTTTCTTGGTGGAGATTTAATAGAAGAGGGCTTTAGGGAGGCCTTCAATCACTGGATGTTTCACAGCACATCCTAAATATTTCCACTCAAAGGCAATGAATGATGCAAACAAAATTGTGTGTAATTGAAACTCCACATAACCATCAAAAAGGAGTTTCAATGGGAATAGGTTTTCTTTTTAAATCAGCCCTAGTTTTGCATAATGCTGCCTGTTGTGGTGAAGTATCCTTTGTCATCACGGACTTATTTAGGAAGGAAAAAGAAGAAAGTCCTGGTGTATAATAGTCTGTTGAACTGTAATGGGAAGTTAGGTAAATGATCGAATTAGCATTCTTTTATCTTGCTGCAAAAATAGCTCTAACCCATGTAACTCATTGCTTAGCATGGTTTATGAAAATAAACCTTCTCCTTTGTATAGAGGCTCTCACCTGGCAGCACTGTGTCCTGGTGATGGATGCCATCAGCCAGACCTTGTGCTGAACATCACCTTGGGTCTTTGGCTCTCCCTGCATAGACCCACCCCTGCCTACTACAAAGAAAAGTGCTGTTGCTTGCACTAAAAATAAAGATATGATGAGTTTTTATCCTCTGGTTCACCCAGAGGCTGGTGACATTACCATCAGGATTCTAAACCACCCCAGTACTCTACCCCATTGAGAAGCACAGTAAGGTAACATCACCATGGGGATTCTAAACCACCCCAATACTCTATCCCATTGAGAAGCACAGTAAGGTAACATCACCACGGGGATTATAAACCACCCCAATACTCTGTCCCATTGAGAAGCACAGTAAGTAATTACCATTGCAACATATGGCACATAAATACCAGCAGCAGAGTTTGGATGTGCTTTAAAATCTACTTTAGACCATCTGTGCTGCTGGTACCCAGGCTATGCCCAGCTTCATCTGCTTCATGGAGGGTGGTGGCTGTTGGCTTAATTCAAAGGCTCACTTCAGTTCTGTTTACACAGGATGAACCAGAATATGGCCTTGACAGAGGAGTCCAGGTAGGACAGACAGTGGCTAAGCAGGTATAAGAAAAAGCTCAGCTCCAGCATGAGAGATGGAGCAACCGGCACCCATGAGGCCTGCCATCCACCACTCCTGAAGCAGCTGCAAATGATGATGTTCAGCCTTCACAGCTCACACAAAGCCCCAGGACAGGCATTTCTCCTACACACCAGCTCCAGAAGCACCCAGAGCCAGGGAGCAAATCCCCCTGGCACCCACCTTCCCCATCAGCATCACTCCAAGCATGCCTGCAGGTACAACTGGATCAAATCTAATGTCAGATCAGGTGACAGGGTTAAATTAAATGTTACCAGATCCAGTACTGACAACATTTGTAAGCCCAGAGCTCTCCTCCCCGTGTACCCGGCTGCTGTCCACACGTAGCCAAAGAGATTTGCCTGCTCAACACAGTGCAATAAATCACAGCGAGAGGTTGCCTCATCCCTGAAATCACATCCTCTCTATGAGGAGAAATCAAAGCTAAAACTGTGTGAATTCAGGGATTTCTGGGCACAGGACATAGGAATGTCCACGGGTTCTTGGATGGTTTTGCACAGGGATTCATCGGAGTCCAGCGCTGCCGGGGGCTGCTATGAGCAGAGCCAGCTGGACAGTGCTCCTCAGGAAACATCTGCTGGAGATGGACGGAGAGAACAGACCGTGCCTTGACCCTCCTCTCCCAGCACTGCTCCACCTCTCTCCATCCATACAGCAGGAGCGCAGGCAGGGAGGGGAGCTGCTGTGCCCCTTGCACAAGGGGAACCCCACATCAGGGGGCCCCCCAAGGCCTCTCCCCCATGGGAGCTGAGTCTCCTGCTCCACACGCAGAGGGGAGGCTCTGCAAGATGAGCTCTCCA